GGGAAAGAGGGAAAGAAGGAGAAAATCGAGTTATTTTAAGCTTCCATGTTTTATTATATAAACCTACAAAAGTCTTTGCTACAATAGCAAACAATGTGGCGCTGTTCTATTAACAGGATCCAGTGGCTGACACAATTTGTGTGATTCAGTATCTCCAACATGACACGCGAGGAATGAATGGTCTGGTGCCGTCAGAACTCGGTCAGGTTATTTCAGCGTACAAAGTCCTTTGGCTTCAAACCCAACGCAGTGAGGGCAGTGCCCTACAATGAATCCACAAGTCCTTGTTTTGTACAAGAGTGTGTGAATTAATAAGATCTATCATAAAAAAATGAAAACTATAAAGCAGCTTTCTCAGAATCAAATGTAAAATTATTTAAGATTTTTTTTTTTTTTTTAAAGTGGTTGAAATCTATCTAGGTTTCACAGACACAACACGCACTAACCCATACACACAACTCTGCCCCAGGAGAGAAAGACCACCGGTCCTTTGAAGAAGGACTGATGATGATAAGCCAGGGTGCTACTGGGAAAGCTCCATCCTCCTAGAGCAATCAATGAAATGAAACCAGTTTGCACACTCCAGAAGGCCAGCTGAAAATAAAATCCCAGGGCCAGAAGGTTGCATGGTTTGGTCAGCTCAATTTAGATCCCAAAGCAAGAGCAAATTTATGGGAACAGTCAATGCTGACTTGGATGTTCGAGATTCCTTCAGCAAGAGGCATTTTACCCCTAGGGCAATACCTTCATAGCTGTGGTTTTCCACATATACTGATCCCGGGCATCATGGCTGACCAGCTGCTGGATCGTGAATGAGATCTCATCATTTCAGAGCTTAATTCAAATATAACAACACGCTGCAGAATTTGGTTGCGTGGATGGCTTTTTCAACACGCACGCACACACATGCACATACCCACCACACAGGCAGGTGAGTCTGGAAGAAGTATGAATCCACCTGCCCTTTCACCCCATGCATGAACCAAAGCTTGATTGCCAAAAAAAAAATATAAATAAATAAATAAATAAAAAGTTTGGTTAATTTAGCTCACACCAGCATGTGTCACAAGTCTTTGCACTTCCTGATTCTGGATGGAAATAGTACAAGACATCCAGTTCTTGCAGTAATTGTGGCCCATGCAGACACAGGAAGTGTTTGCTATCTCACGAGAGTGTCTGATCTTGCGATGTTCCTGGCTCCGGTAGTTCAGAAAAGCATCTGGTCTCCCAGATGCTTCTCTGACCTGCCAAAGCGACTGAGGTTTGACCACTGCTACCCGCGTGAAACACAAGTTCCTTCAGTCAGGTAAAATAAGTTTGAGTATTAGCAGCAAGGAGGGATCACAGCCTACTTTGGGTCAGTCATTTTAGGCAAGCCAAATCAGGACCGGATTTTAGTTCGCAGTTGATTTCCGTCCCCATCAGGTGCGGTCGCAGCTAACCCAGCAGGGGCACGTTGAGTTGCCTCCAAACACCCGAACAGTGTAGGGTTGTCTCCGTTGAGTTGCCCCCGGCTGTCTCCAAATGCCAAATGCTGGCTTGTTCTTGCAAGTTGTCTTTTGCCTTTTCGGGCCTCCTGAGCTTGAGGTTGGGCCATCATGGACCAGCAGCTTTTCTGGCTCAGATGAAGTCTCTCTTCGTTCCTGTCTCTGCATCCCTGCATGGCGGATCTCATCACATCACCTCTTTCTTTGTTGCCAGGCTCTTCTGGCTCTCTCTGCACACTGAGCTCTCCCCAGTGCATTTCGGTGCCAGCTGGTCCTTCCCCGCAGAAGCAGCAACTCCCAGCTGAACAGACGGAGGCTCGGCAGCTACGCCAGGCATCCCTGAAAACAACAACAGTGATGGGGATGAGACATAGCAAGCAGAGAGTGGAAGATGTATCAGGGGCTGGAGAGGGGTGATATTTGCAGTGCTAAGCCAAGGTAGGGCCTGGGATGGTGGTTAGCACAAGGCATTGCTGCTGGATAACTATTGGGTGCTCTGTCAGGAGGGCAAGGTGTAATGCCTGCTTCCTCACCCGAGATTCACCTCCTTTAGGGGGTTGTGTGGGGCTTCAGGGAGTGCTCAGCACGGTCCAGGGGGAATTTAGGATCTCTTTGGGTCAGGCCCTCAGGGAGGCTGAGGAAGGCTTGTAAGAGAGCTAATTACCTGTACAGAGGATCTCCTCTGAGGCTTCGCATCAGGCACACAGCGGCTTTGAATTCGGACATCCGTTCCCCTGCCCTTTTCCGGGCTTTTTCCTTCGTGATGTCTCATCAGAGATGGGTCTGGGGGAATCACTGCAACAAAGGGAGGAGAGACATGAGGCGTGTTTGCCTGAGGACTAGAGAGCATCTTGCATTTACACGGCATCTTTCTTCCCCGAGCATCCCCGGTTGCCTATGGAAACCACGCTGCATACCGGGATGCAGGCACAGCCAAGTAAACAAGCCTCCCGGCAGCCTGGGAAGATCCCTTTCTGCCAGCCTCGGTGGTCAGGTGGCTACATCTGGGATTTGCCTTCAAGCCTTGTGGTCCATGGGCAAGCTTTTTAGCTGCATCAAAGCATCTAGGTCCATTAAAGCAGGGACCACCCTTTGGACACAGCCCTCCAAGTTGTATATAGCCCAGCAGGGGAAATTATCCTGTGGTCTAATATAGCACAGGGTTGGGAGACACACCTGATTGTAATATCCCCTTAAGCTTCCCTTTTCACTATCTGCCCCACATTGCTCCACCGGTCTGCCATACCCCACTATCCCCCTCACTGATGTTTATGCTCTTCAGTGGGCGCATTTACTGTGCAGTATCTGAAATTACTCCACAGTACAGGCACGCGTCTACACATGCACCCCTGTACTGCACAGTAAATATGGCGACTTATGCCGACTTGCGCGTAAATTGGATACCTGCATCATGCAGGTATACGATTTACGCCCGATGAGTTACTGTGCAGCACCACACATGTAGACGCCTTACTGTGCAGTAACACTTTAGACTGACTTGGGACTAACTTAAGTCTAGTTTAACTAGTCTAGTCTAACATTTTACTCCCAAGTCAATCCACACGGAGTTGATGCATTTCAATTCCTGCACGTATAGACGCCGGTCTATTCCTGCTTACTGCGCAGTAAATTTAAGCCAGTGTAAATGCATGTGTAGACATGCCCAGTGATGGGCTAAAGCAGTCCTGGTGTAGCTTTACCATGGGATCCCCCTTTACAAAGCTGATAAGTTTGCCCACACCATGGAGTGGAAAGCCAGGAAGTTGCCTTACCTTTAGTCTCTATGAATCCCATGAAGAGCTTTCAAAGCCACCTATGCCACGGTTTGCTGCTGCTGCTGCTGTCCCAGGGAAGTTTCAGCTACTCCCTCTTGCAGTTGTTTCTGCCTGTTGCTTCTGGTGATGGATGCAGGGTTGTTGGTGCAGGATGCACTTGCTAACAGAGACTCCATTTCAGCTTTCTAAGCATGCAAGGCTGGACTTTCTGTGTTGAAACAAAAAGCTGGAAGGTCCCAACTGCCCAGCCATGCCTCAAAGTCCCGTCCTCATGCATCAGTCATGGTGCACACATCCTTATTGTTAGCTGGTAATGTAGAAAAGCAATGCAGAGCCCCATGTCGGCTCCGTGAGACTGCAGGGGCCGTTGTAGGAAACCCATCAGCTTTCACATACAGTCCAGCCATTGAGTTCTCCAGCGTGAGGACACCTGACTTTTGGAAAGCCACTTGTAGTATCGAGGTGTCCTCTTTGCAAGAGGCCAGGTGGAGGCAGCTCCAGGACGCGTGCCACCTCTGTACTTGCTTTCATGTGGCAAAAGCAAACCCAAGCTGGTTGCCGAAGTCCTGCTGTGTTAGCGTCTGAGTCTCAGTGGACTTGCTTTGCTGCTCGGAGGGGTGGGGGATATTAGCTCTGAGTTCACGGTGTGTTCGTTTGATTTTTTCAAAATGTAGGAATTAACCCCTGTACAATGCTAGCTTCCTCACCAATCATCCCATGCTAGAAGATATCTAGCCCGAGTCCTACACAACCCGAGATGGAAGAAGTCCAGTAATATTTCCTATCCTAGTGCTGTGCACCCTCGCTCCCCAGGTTACCAGCAGACATGGGAAGAAATCTCCCTTGTTGCTGCTGTGGCCTGGGTGGATGAGGTTTCTAGGGGGGAAGCAGGGAGGGAAGAAAAATGAGAGCAGGACCTGGGTGGAAAAAGGGACGAGGTTTCCATTTGCTGACATTTTAGGCTCCCCACTAAAGAAATTCAAGCTTCTAAAAAGTTTTCTCCTCAATCCAGCAGAGGCTGAGGAGGAAGCAGAAACCTGCGGCTTCCTCTCACACTGGACAAAAACCTCACTCGTAAATCAGACATGTTAAAAAAAAGGGAGATTCCCCTATAAAAGGAGCAGGGAGGAGAGAGGAAGGAGGAGAGGTCCTGACTGGCGGGTGAGAAGGGACCCTTGGGCAGTTTGGGATGGCTGTCTCTGCCATTGGGAGTCGTCTCTAGTATCATGAAAGGGTCCTCCCTCCCGGCAGTGGTTAAAGTAATACCCTCAGCCTCGCGCCACCCTGTCGCGTGGCTCGGGCAAAGCGGGCAGCCACATTTGCAAGCGGCCCAACTTCGAGCAAAGTTTCATTTCTCTGCTGCGGGCCATTGGACTGAGTATATGCCCTCTGACTGATCGCAGCTAGATCGCCTCGCTAAGAAGAAGCTTCCTCAATGCGCCCCTTTCCCACTGGTGTCTAAGGCAAACCGTGGCTTTCCTCTACTCATATCACGGTGGCCGGGGGGCTGGGGGCCTCGGGTTGTGTCCCGCTGCTGGTATTGGGGCTGGTTGTGGTGGAGGGGGGCAGGGTCTCCACCGAGTCCCCGGTCCGAGCCTCGGAGGCTCGCTGCGGGCTGGGTTCCTCCGAATGGTCTAGGCTGCCTTGCACTTCCTTCCCCTTTTGGATCAGCTGCTCTAAGGTCTTGGGCAAGGGGTAACTCAGGAAGCGCTTGAGTTTGGGCTGCAGGGTGCCTACCACGTACTGGATGATCTGCTCCTCATCGGCATCGATGTAGAGGGTCTGGTACAGGTCTCTCTTACGCCACAGGAACTGGTCCAGGGGCTCCCCGTCTTTCTGGGGCAGGTCCAGTTCCCGTTTGATGGCGTCCCTGGTCAGGGTCCCCTCGCTGTACTGCAAAAACTCTTTCTTGAACTCCACCCAGTTCTTGACCGTGTCCTGCTTGTATTCCCACCACTTTTTAGCCGGGCCATTCATGTGGTTCTGGATCTGGGAGAGCCAGTACTCCTCGGTCCCACCCACCTGCTTCAAGTACTCCTCCAAGTGGCAGAGGAACTCCCTAGGGTCCTCGAAGACCTGGGTCTCCACTGGAGAGGCTGGAGCATCCTCCGGGGATGTGACCCATTGGTAGGAGTCATGGGGCTGGGGGACACTGGGCAACTCTCCTGGAGAAGGAGTCAGTGCATACATCTGGCTCATGTCCAGGGCATAATCATAGATCTCCCCTTCACTGGGTCTGATTTCTGGGCCACCCACCCCGACGGACACGGTCTGCCTAGCACTGTCCGTGGGGCAGTATTTGCCCCCCATGGACTCCAGCCGGTCTGCCCATCGCTCTAGGCGGAAGAATACCTCCTTCCAGACATTCATCTCCCTCTTAACCCACCTTTCCAAGTGAGCAATGGTCTCCTGGCACCTGGCCAGGCAGGCCTTGATGGACTTCTTCCACCTCTGGTTGTCAGTGGGGACGTGGTCCTCCAAGTTGTTCTCTAACTTCCCCACCGATTTCTGCAAGCCTTTCAGCTCCCGCTCCACCTGCTTGGACACCTCCGTCAGGAGATGCCGGTGGGTCCTCCTGACATGTTCCAGCATCTCTGTCCTACACTTCCCTATCTGCAGGATCACGTTAGGCTTATTGGCCACGCTGCGGTGCCCCTGGTAGGTGTGGACGCCCGCGTTGGTGACGCTATCCAGCTGCATGGTGCCTCTTGCGTGAGTACTCTCAACCAAGCGGCAGCACACAGCGACTTGTTCGGATGTTTAGGTCGGCTTCGAATCGAGCAGCTTCCCCAACCACCCGGCTTTTCGTCCCTCTGCTACTAGACACAGGCCGCCCGCAATGCCCTCCCTGGGATGCACAAACACAACCGAATCAGATACCACCCCAGCGAAAGCCGTCCGGTCCCCTCCGTAGCCAGCAAGCAAGCAGAATAGGCAAAGTCACTTGGCTCCTGGCATGCACGTCCGGGAAAAAGCAGAGTTGTCCGGCTGGTATCTCCTGCCCCGTTGGCGGCGCAGGCTTTCCACGTAGCCCTCTCCGCAGTGCAGGCTTTCGATGTAGCTCCGAACACAGAGCTAGAAGCTGCTGCTCGAAGCTCCCGGTATCTCTCCCTCGCTTTGCAGAGAAACTTCAGAGAACAAGTGCCTGGCTAGAGATGCAAAGAGCTGCTTTCGTTCCCTGCCTGCACTGCCACTCGCTCAGGCTTTTGGTTGTACTTATACCAGAGGCAGCTCAACATGTGGGTGGTGCCCGGCCTCTTCCTTCTCTCCCTGCTCGGCGCTCATTGGAAGAGAGCGAGCACAGTGTCTGTGGCAACCCAAATCTTGGCAGCCTCCCCTCGTTTCCCACCCCCTCGCGCACACCCCCGGACTCGATGCGAGAAGCACTTTAAAGGTTCTGGAGACAGTTGGATGGATGGATGAGTAATGCACCTTCCGCCTTTCACCGAGCCGAAAGCACTTATTCATTCCACAACTATTTACTCAGCAAGGTCATCATTAACATGCTTCCCTTTGCACAGCTCACAGAGGGGGAGATGTGTATGAATTCAGTGTGTCACACTGAGTCGGCCGCCCACCGGCCCCCTCACGCCCACCCACACTCACACACACACATACAAATGCTGCAAATGCTCCCAAAGTATTGCAATTCAGCAGAAAAAGGGACAGGGGCTGTGCAGGGGAGAAGGGGGACAGTGGGCAGAGCCACCTTGATTCAAATAAAAGGCATTTGGGGACTTGGCAAAGCTTTGGGAGGTGCTGATTGAGCCAGGGATTTAAAATTATACCGGGCCTAGGAGCAATTTGTTCAGGGGCTTTGTGGTGGGGTGGCAGGATCAGGGGGGGTTAAGGGCAATAGGGGCCTTGTGGATCTCAGCCAGGTTTTTCCATCAGATTAAACCCGCCCATCCAAAGCTGGTTAGTCTCTACGCTTGAATCAGATGCTTAATCAATCAGCCAACCCACAGGCGCCGATGAAGCTATAGTTGTTCTTGGCTCTTGACGAGGCAGGAAAAGCCAACCATAAAAGGAGAACGGGGTTTATATAAGCCACCGATACAGGATTCCCTGCCGGAGAGAGTTCCCCTCCGGAAATCCCGTCATATGGACACCGTGCAGGGGTGCCTCTCCTTGCACATTGCGGGGAGGGGGTGTCCTGGAGGGCTTACTCGGAGCATTAGATAACGCTGATCTCTAGCATGTGCATGTGTCTCCTTTGCTCCGTGGCAGCCTGCCAGCTGTGCCCGGGACGTGCCCGCACTAGGATGCTTGCCAAACCCATCCAGAGGTTGCCATCGTGATGCTGGGGTAGGAAGAGCAGGAGTCCCAGTGGGGATACAGCAAATACCTGCCGATGCTGGAACTTGCCCTCATGCAGAGGATGCCCACAGGACCCTGTGGGGAAAAAGCAGGTGGCTTTTGCTTCTCTGTATACAGGCAAAGCCGTGGGGGATGATTTCAAGGCATGCAGCTCCCAGCTGGTGCCTGTATCCCCCTCCCTGGGGTCACCTTGAGATACAAAGGTGGGACCAGAAGTGCCTCCATCCAGCTGCCCGTGACCACTGCTGCTCATCCCCATCTCCTTGCTTCTCCTGCCCTGTGACTTGTAGCCCAAGGGTCTTTAACTGCCTGCAAGGGTTTCAAGGAACCGAAGCGAAGGAGGTCCCTGAGGTCATCTAGCCGGTCCTCTAAGGTTGGCATAGTATTGACCCTGAAAGGACAGTTTCGGGGGCTGTCTCTAGCCCTGCTTGTAAGTCCCAACCAAAAGCAGCAGAGCACAGGCCAGTTTCTAAACCCGTGGCTTTGCACACACGGTTCCCAGGCCTGTGCACATGCATGGGGGGCATGGCTTGCACAAGTGATGTAACAGAGAGCACCATTACACGCATCACTGAGACCTGGCACCGCACACACACACATGAATACTTTTGCACACACACGCCGTGAGCCGTATTCCTCCCTCCCACATACCACCAAGCCCTGGAGTCAAATTGGGGCTCACGTGTCTCACCCTGTCCCCCCCAAATCCCCTTCCTGGCACTCATCTGGATCCGATGGGCACCGGGATTGAGTTTGTCTAATTTTAGCTCCATGTTCTGCTGGTTTTTGTCCTAAGCTGTTTGATTTCCTTTGGGGAGGAAGGGTGGGGAGGCAAAGGGGGGTTTCCTTCTGTGCTTGCTGGGGAATGTCTTGCCGATGAAAATATAATGACAACTGTTTTAATGGTATTTCTAATTAAAGGAAGGTGTGTAGGTGGAGAGGGAGGAGAGAGAGGAGTGGGGAAAGCAGAGCAGACACACACACGCACAGCCCGGGGTGCGGGGTCAGATGGACAGTGGGGCCAGGATCGGGGCAGGGAGATGAGATTTTGGCACCCTGCAAAGATCACGAGCACTGCCACGGTTTGCTTCTTGTTTGCTGCCTTGGTGCTCGGATGCAATCAGCTTCCTCCAAGAGCAGGGGACGGAGATTGACTCGCGGTGCCCGGCAGGCATCGCACACGTGGGGTGGGCAGGTGGGGCAGTCCGGGGAGGGCTGGGAGGTGAGAAAACTGCATGTAGAGAGAGAGACTGGGAATCAGGGAGCAAAGCAGGGAAAGCAAAGGAAGGGCTGGGGTGTATTGGGTACAGATGGGGTGGAAAGGACAGGAGAGGAGAGGGGAAAGGGTAGCAAGGAAAAGGAAAAGAGATCTAGGCAGAAGGTGGTTGCATTGCTTTCTCCATGGCAAGGGGGTTTAATTGCATTGGCTGCATGGAGGTTTGGATGGGGATGATCCTGCCTCAGGCAGCGGACTGGACTAAATGGCCTCCAGAGACCCCTTCCAGCCCCACTTCTCCGTGTATAAGTCTGTATAGTGTGTGGGGGCCTAATACATGCAAGGAGGTAAAGCATCAGTTCGTTCGATGACAGAAAGGGAGAGTGGGAAGGAGAAATGTCCCCAAGGCCACCAAGCTGAGCGGGTTTCGGTGGCCATTCAGTTTTGACAGCGACCTTTTGGAGGCTGTGGGCTCCGGTCCTGTGAAAGCCTGGGGTTTTGGGAAAGGGGAGAGCTTTCCAATAGAGATGCACTGGGGCCGTGGCTGTAAGAGGGTTGCAGGGAGCCCACCGCCCTGCGGTACCGGCTCAGGGCTGCTGTGCGGGAGGATGGAGCTCGCTGCTGGGACATCTGGGACCCTCCAAGGATCCTTGGGGATTGTGAAAGGGGATGGGAAGGTGGGACCAGATAGGGGTCATCACCCTCCCTGGGGAACCCACAAGACCATGAATGGCCCTCTGATGGTGCCTGCCCTCCTGCAAGGCTTTGAAGGCAAGTCCTGGGGACCAATGCAATCCAGCCCAGCGCATGGAGTACAGCGTCTGTGCAGAGCACCCTGGGAAAGCAAGGGGCACGGCAGTTTGCATGGGGATACTGGAGCACATCTGGATCTCTGTGCTGAGTAGGAATGAGGATGAGGCATTTGTGTCATAGATTGGGAGACCCCCCCCTTGATGGGTATGGTACAGGGGAAACCCAGAGCCCCCGTCCAGCCCAGCATCTCTCTGGTAGCTTGTCATTTTTGCCAGGAGAGGTAGCAGAGACAACCCAGAGATATGGAGCAAACCAACCCGTTCAGTTTGAAGATGCTGCTCTTGCTGGCCTTTTTGCTGATGAGGCCCCCACGGTGAGGACTAGGAATAGGACCAGAGCCGGTCCCTATTGCATTATTTTCCATTCTGCTGAGAAGCCGGAGATTCATTTTCTGCAAACACTGAACAAGGAACTTTCCTGGGCTAAAGAAAACAGAGCTAGCCATAAAGCCACCCCGTTTCTCTTCCAGCAGAGCAATCCTAGACCCAACGCACACAACCTTCCTATTGCAAACGTTGGGATCCGGCTCACGCTAGCATCCCTCTCCGCTCCCAAATTAGATTGCTGCGGAAAGTTGGCCGTTCCTTTGTTTCTCGGGTAGCGGAGTCTGCAGGAAAGATAAGATTGAAGAGAGGTTTTTTGTTGGTTTTTGGTTGTTGTTTTTTTTTTTTAAATAACAGTAATAACATGTTTAATATACACTATGCGGCTTGATTCAATCATCTACAATCTGGGAACATTTCATTCCATTAAAACCGCCACTCAGGATGCACAACATACCAATCAAAACGCCGTTCACGTCGGCCGCCCCATTGTTCTTCCCTCCTCCAACTGGTCGCCTACTGTACTCCATTGTCGGAGCCCACACGTCACGTGGCGGCGCGGTGGAGCCGCGGGGGGGGGGTGAGTGAGGAGAGCGGAGGGAGCGCATTGTTGTTATTAATAATAATAATTATAAACCCCGAGCATTCGGGGCCGGCAAGGCCTTTCATTTGTGTTATGTCTATTTTCTTTTCCAACCAGAGCAGAGTAACCTTTTTTTATCTTGACCTAAAAATATCGAGATTGGCCTTTGCCTCTTGTAAATAGGAAGTTTTTTCTCTCTTTCCTTCTCTTGGAGGGCAAAGGAAATCATGCAATGCGTGGTTGATTTTTCCCCGGTCCACAGCCACTTCCCTGCAACCTTAATCAAGGAAACAAACTAATTCATTTCATTGCTCACGCTGCTCCGAACCCGAACGCGGCAACGGGCTGTTATTACAGGGATGCGCTTAATGCAATAATAAGAGCATAACTACATTATTAGCCCAACATATTGGTTATGCATATTGCTGATTAGCTGATATATTAC